CAAAGCTGTCTCTTACACTTATATAAGTGACCCTGAATTTATTTCTCTAGTCAGCCTGGTCTAACATAGTATATTATTTACAAGGTTTTGTATTATACAATACTTATATAGCATGGATTATACATTCAAGCTTGCATAAGATTAGTTTGGTAAAAATGACCTGGGAGATGAAGAGAAGTGTTACAACTGTGGAAGACCGTTTAGCCAGATAAAAAATATGAACAACTGTTTCTAACACTAATTACAAAATTCTCTTTGCAACCATATATTGCAACAATTGAGATTTTAGCATACAATTTCATTTTTCAAAAAGAAAAAACCAAACACCTGAATATGCTTGGCTTTCTTTAAAACTGGGTTAATTTTAAGAAGCTACTCTTTTCTCTAGTTGAAATCTTGGCTGAAATTGGTCAGCAAATTAGATGAACTACGTATCTCAGGAGCAAGTAATCATGCCATTAGTTTTTCTGTTTGTTCAAAAAGGAACAGTATTTATTAAAGTATGTGTTTTACACATTCTTTTCATCGGAAGGGAGCCTGATGGCAGAGTGGGTATTTGTTGGGTTGCTTACCCCAGGCAGCAATTTGGAACCACCAGCCGCTCACAGGAGCAGTCTACCCTGTCTTACAGGGTCACCATGAGTTAACATCGGCCCATTGGCCATTTTCTTTCTTTCTTTCTTTTTTTGTTTGGCATTTTAAGGGTTCATAATAGTCAAGGAAGGAATCACTCAGGTAAGTCTCTGGAAAATCAGCAAGACAATTGAATAAAATGGGTGGCAGTAAATCAGAATGGGAATCCCAAAAATTAAATTGTCATCATGTCAATCCCAATGAAAAATGGAGAGGATGCTTAAAGCATGAAACCCTTCCATTTTCAAAAATGCACATGGCGGAATTCTATGTGCCCAGTTCTGAAGAGAGCTACAGCGAGAATCTTCAGTGAGTTCATAGAGAAGCAATGTTGTTTTAACCCATTTGGAATTTCATGTCATGGCAAACAAACATTACTTTAAAAATATAAGGCTATTTGATAGGAAAATGTGGTACACATAGTTATATGCACCTCAAGGCTAGCAAAGTCTGAAGAGACAGACAAATACAACTGAATATGATTAATGGAACCATTTTTATCTAGAGAGAAGTAGTCTAGTGGTTTAATGGAATGCCAAATATTTGCCCTGCTGATGCTAGATGGAGTAGAGAGAGACATACTTATTAGATTTGTAAATCTGGATGGGATGGTCAGCAGTCTGTGTGAGATACTCATAATTCAAAAATAATTCAGTAGATCAAAGGTGGAGAACATCGGACCTGTGGCTGTATATGGCCTGCAAAGTCATCAAGACCAGCTGCCTCACCACCGTCTTCAGCTCAGTTCTAACGCACAGTGCCCCTACAGGACAGGTAGAACTGCCCCTCTGGGTTTCGGCGCCTGCATACCTTTACGAAACAGGAAGCCTCATCTTTTAAGAGCGGCTTATGCATTTGAACATAAATAAAAACATGGTGCATCCAGGACAGGAGGTAATAGGTCCATAAACTATTCAGACCATACAGCCATATTGCTTTAATAAAAAGAGAAAGAGAATAATTAGAGATATTAAAGAACTAGAGCTCCCCATAGAAAGAAGAGGCATTTGGTGAAGATAATAGAAACCATCATGCATCCTGAGTAACTCAAACTGTGAGCATTGAATCCTGACCTTCCATTAAATCAAACCCTTTCAGAGTTTAAATCCCAGCTCATAAGTCAACTACAGAAAAGTCTTGATCCCCACACTTCAGTCACATATGCATCTCTTCAGTCACATTGCTATGTTCTCATAGCATTTACTATCTGGACCTCTCATTAGGGTCTTCAGTAACAAGCTGCTTTGTTGTAGACCTTCTGATGCTTATACTTCAATTCCCCAAGTAGACCACATAATCTCTGAGGTTTGAGAGATCACAGGGGAATCAGGTGTGGGTTTCCCCAGTGAATCATCTATCCCTTTGTGGAACTTGGGTAATCATCTTACCAGGATTGCAAGAGAAGGCTGCTGTGGAATTGGGTTATTTAAGCTTTGCGATGCCAATGGGCTTTGTAGCTTAATGAATTTCTCTGTTATGTTTAACTCTTAGTAGTACGAAGATTGGGTCAGGATAAACTCATGTTAGTGTGCTGAGAGACAATGGTTTAAATGTTTTATTGTTCCGGTTTTTAATAAGTGGTTTGCATGTATTCCATAGTATTAAACTATAAACCTCCTGTGGTTGTTGGTGCCATGTGTGTAGGTTTTTTGTTGTTGTTGGCACTGCTATCTTTGTGTTAGTCTTTTTCCCTACTTAGTCCTTCACCGTGAAGCCAAGGGGTTCATGCTCCCACCAATCCCCAACAACTGGTATAGTAGGGCAATGTAATATGCACAAAAGGAGCTGGGGTCACGCTTGTCAAATGAATAAAAATGGTTTCTAATAAATTTTCTGAAAACAAACAAGAAAAACATTTTTAATATGCCAAAATTCAGAATTAGCAAAATCTCAGGCTATTCATATTCAATACTCTGTAGAAAGTACATTTTACCAAAGGATTACAGAAATGAAGAGTTGTATTATGTATTCTATAGTATTGGCTCGGTGTCCATTCAGCAGTAGTTAATTTGAATACTCATAACCCCTGCCACTGTATAATAATTTATTTTACTTTCCTTTCTCCAATCTCTACTAGAGATTGTGAAGCTAATGGAAATACAATATAGGCACTGCCCTGGTTGACATCAGTTATTTGCTGAGGCTTAAAATGGAAGGAATTTCCCACTTTTTGTAGAACATGAGATGTTCTATACCTGTGATAAAGTTTTTGTCAACCTGGCTGGATCAGGGTTCTCAGCTGTTTGGCAGTTCAGAGCTAGTAATCCCCAGGAGGCTCTAACACAAGGGAATCAACCCCATTAAGAGATCTGCTGTGCCAATCAATTAAAAGGAGGTTTGCTCAGGGGCGTGGCCTGTTTCCAATATAAGGGAATACTATGGAAAACTTGGCTTGCTTTTTGCTGGATCTGAATCCTGCATCTGGTTCATTGACCTCAGTTTCTTGGGATTTGAGCCAATGGCAGCCCATTTGCCTGCAGATCCTGGGAGTTGTCAGCAGTCTGCTCTGAGCAGCTGGCCTTGGAGTCATTTGTCTCTGCAGGCACAAGCCTGTTGTCCTCCTACCATGTTTGGCTTCATCAGCCCCTTCAGCTACGTGAGTCAGGACAGCCTTCCAGCCGAAGATCTAACTATGATCTGGAAATTTGCTCACTTCTATATCTGCGCAGCACTTTCTCAATAAAAATACACAGGCACATAAGCTTCAATGGTTTAGCTTCTCTAGAGAACTCAGCCTAAAACATCACTAAGTAATTTCTACTGGAAATAATGACTAGTAGATCAGAAAGGGACCTTGTATTAACTAATCCACTTAACTTGTTTTACAGACAAGAAAACAGGCCGAGGCACAAATGAAAATTTGTTCAAGATCTCAAAACCAATCAGCTGCAGAGCTTGTTGATTACTACTTATTGTTATTACTACTACTTATTGTTATTTTGGTCCCCCCCTTCTTTCATTGTGGTCCTGACTCGCATAAGGAAAAGGAGAAAGCAAAGAGGCAGCACATGTTTCAAGTCTTTGGAGGAATGAGGTTTTCTTCATTAGTTACCTCCTTTCCTCCCAACCGACAGAAAAAGGTTGTAAAAAGTGTTTGCACACGAGAGTACTTAAGAGTGCTCACGATGTGGTGACTTTTCTGAGATTTACAGACTTTACATGTTGGAACAGACTTAAAGGTTAACAGGTGGCAGTTTTATAAAAGGAGCCCCAGGGGGTGCAGTGGGGTTCATTGTTGGCTGTTAACTGAAGTCACTGGTTTGAACCCACGAGGAACTCTGAGAGGGGAACAGAGTTGGCAATCCAGGAGAAAAGACTGCAGCCTAGGAAACCCCACTGAACTCTTCTCCTCTGTCCCACAGGGTTGCCGAATCAGAATTCACTCTATGGCACACGCATTACCTATGTACAGAAGCCCCGGGGGTGCAGTGATCTGCACCTGGCTGCTCACTGAAAGGTGGGCAGTTCAGTCCAGCGGCAGCTCCGTGTCACTCCAACGGAGAAAGACCTGGTAATCTCCTGGAGAGTACAGTTTGGAAACCCCCATGAGGGCAGTTCCACTTTGTCACCCAGGGCGGCTGTCAGGGAGGATGCAGAAACCCTTGGGTGGTACCAATGGTTAGGCCCTCAGCGACTAACCGGATGGTGGAGGTTCAAGGCCACTCACCAGCATCTCAGGAGAAAGGTCTAGGGAACGATGCAGAAACATTGGTCACGTACACCCTGCAGAGCACACGTATCCTCTGGAACACGTCAAAGCAATCACGAGTCAGAGTCAATTTTGCTGGCAACAGGGCTGATCTGGTTTACGTACATCTTTGACTCCGTGACATAATATGGGTGTTTCTAGTAATCCATTTCCTCTCTTTCCTCCATCGATCCATCTACATTATGTTACCATTGAAAGACTGAATCTCAGGGACACATGAGAATTTCTGCTTCACGATAACAGAACACTATGTGGGTACTATCCTTTTAGACATGGCGTAGTACAATTAAAAACACAACAGTGAACTCCTGGATGTAAATATCAAGTATCCAACACGGGGTAAGAACACTGGGATCTGCTCTTTGTGACAACATGAAGATTTTCAGTACCTTGTTGGCCACATCATGTACAGACACATTAAGAAACAATCACACTTTGGATTAGCAGGAGGTTAAATTTTACATAATGACCATCTTTTAGTACCCAAATGCCCTGTTACTTGGGATTTGCCCAAGGCATTAGATTTTGCTGTCTCTTGTACAAGAAGCTGTAATCCAAAGCTACTTCAGTGAAAACAAAATATTTTAAAAAGTCACATGGCATCTAGACTTAACTTTGAAATTATTATTCCAAGTGATAGTCTTTCTTACCCACATACCTAGGAGGCTGGGGAGGCTCCTTCGTGTCACTGGGTATGAGGTTATAAATGCTCTCAGAAAAGCACGTTGGATCCATGACCACCAAATGACCCCCTAAAAACGATCAACTTTTCCCCCCTTCACTGTACTAATTCCCGCCCCTTCACGCCTTTTTCCCCTTTCCTACTCCTTTGTCCTAAGAAGCCACGGCTCTCTGACACAACTCCCCTTTGGCCGCCGCTCTCTTAATTGCAGTCTCTGGAGAAGAAACTACCCTTTCTATTCCTCTGGGCGTTTCTAGCGTTGTTGACCATGCGGTAGTCGTGGAAACTGTTACTAGGCGACGGGAAAGCGTTAGCTAGCTTTCCTTTCTTTTGATTCCAGCGCCTTTTCCAGCTGAGTTCAGTATGGAGGTCATACACGTGCCTCTGAAGGAAGCTGGGTGGTGAATGTCGTCCACTAACAGATTTGCTCTGTTCTGTCCACATTTGGGGTAAAGAACAACTTTATTGCGAGAGTCGGGAAGCGCAGCTGGTGCGCAGGCGTCACACAAACGGGCGTTGGTGCGCAGGCGCAGTGCCGGCGGAGGCGGGGGCGTGTGCTGAGGCCAACCGGAAGCAGGGTCCAGCGTCCGCAGCCAGCTCGGAGAGGGGTTTCGAGGGCGGAAGTAGGTGGAGAGTGGGTGGAGCGCGGGAGGAGAGTGACGTAAAGGTTGCTAGAGGGCGTGGCAAGATAGGCGTGGTGCGCGGGCGCCACCTCTGGCGCATGCGCGGAGGCGGGTGCAAGGGGGCGGGCCGGGCCTAGCGAGGCCTGAGGCGGTGGGCGATCCCTGAGGGGCGTCAGAGTTGCGGGTCTCCGTCGCCCGAAGCGGCGCTGGCGGCTCCTGGACTCTCCTTCCCATTTCCTTTCATTTCCCCTGTCCGCTCAGGGTGCTTTCCTTGGTGAGTGATTAAGGAGAAGGACAGGAGAGCTGTAGAAACCAGTCCCTCACCACCGCGGGCCTTGTCCCCGGCGTTCCTCCTCCTTCCCGCTACTCGGTGTCGCGGAAACGCCTGCGCGCACGGCGCCGGCCGCTTCTCGCCGGGCTCCCCGCCACCCCCGGGGCGCCCCGCCACCCACGGCCGCCCCGCCCGCACCTGCGTGAGTGCGCGCCCACGGGCGGCAGTGTCCGTCCACCCGTCCCGCCCCGCGGCCCCTCGGCCGAGCGCCGGGTCCCCGCTCCCGGCCCCCGCCCCAGCCGCCGGGCTGGCCCTCTGGGCCCCTTGACCTCTGGTCCTCACACGGAAGACGTGGGAACTGGACGTCTTTCCTAACGAGCAGCCTTCATGACGACGGAGGCCCTTTGAAATGGGCCGTTGGATTTGCCCAATGTTTGGTGACCCTTCTTTTTTCGGTTCTGGAAAACGGTCGTGTGAGGAGTGGTTTGATACCGTGTGAGCACTTGACCCGCCAGGAATCTATGTGTGCTAATGCTAACCGCGGTTTGAAAAGACATTTTATCCCCCGGCCATAAAAGCCCTTTGGGTAATGGGATTTGAGAGGGCAAGTTGGTGGTTCTGAACCAGCCATGCAGAGCCCCCTCTGCCCAAAGGGACTAAGGAAGCAGCGGCCCACCGTAAACCCACTTTGGTCTCTTGCCTAGGCGGGTGTTGGAGGGATAATGAACTTTATTACGACCTACACTTCGTGCTGAACGTGTACGTCCTTTTGGTGTCTTGATGAAATTCATTAGATAAAAATAAGTTGTGTTTTTTTTCCTTAACGAGCTGGTTAAATTTTTATTTTTATAACAAACATTTCAGGAAAACGAATGGCCCATTGGTGATGAGCTTACTGTTTTCTCCACCTCAAATGGACTTTCTGTCTTCCAAAGCATTTTATTAAGTCCTGCCTCTTTACCTTCCCTTTGAGCGTTTTAAGTTTAGGGGGTTGTTTTTATTTTGCTCAGCATTTATAGAGAACAACTCTGGGGAACAGTTCTCTATACATGCTCAGACCGCAAGTAACAACTCAATAGTAACAGCACAGTACCGCATGGCTAAGTCATTAGCCAAGGCATACGTATTTTCTCATTAAAAGGAAACCTTTGGGGAATGCTTTTTTATGTTTAATCTGTGCAGAAAGGGCTCGGACTCTGGAGGAGAAGGCATGGTTTCTCTAGTACCTTAAGCACCAAATGGCCTTCGCTAGTCTTGAATTTCTAGTTGTCCTGAAATACAATAATTTCACCGATGGCCAATTTCTTTCATGTGCTTTTAATATGCTATGCCGAATTTGCATGTCATCTCACTTTAGTTTACAGCCAGGAAGATCAGAACTCATTTGCTCCTTAGATCAACACCAGGGAAGTTGCCCGGGGTCCCTACGCACAGGGCGCCTGTGTTCTGAGGATAAGGAGTGCTTTCTAGGCTCTGATCTTTCCAGAAGCTGGTCACCAGCCCCTTCTTCAGGGTCACTGCTAGGTGAATTCAAACTGCCAACCGTTAGGTTGAGCATAAGTCACTTGTGTCACCTAGGGACATTTCCCTTAGACTCTTGGCCTCTATTTGTGGTTGTCATTTCAAAGGGCATTTACAAAGAATTCATTTTTAATTCCAATCATTTCCTCCAAATGGCAGGGCCTTTCAGCAGGAGGCCTGTGTCTACTATGTGCACAAGGAATGAGGACTGGTATCTAAGAAAGAGTTGACAAACTTTCTGTGCAGGGCAAGATAGTATTTTAGGGTTTGCAGGCCAAAGGACCTCTGTCACCACTGAACTTAATGCCGCCATGGGGTGCTAAAGCAGCCATCGAGGGAACACCGTGAGCGGACAAGTGAATGGGTGGTTGTGTTTCAAGGAAATCTTATTGACAAACACTGATTGGTGACCCGGATTTGCCCTTTGCACACATATCTGGTATAAATGGTGTGTGTGTTTTACGTGTGCTGTTCTCCCTCCCACAACACTTTTAACTAACTAAAATGAGCCTGTATAAATAAGATAATTAGGTAGAAAATAAATCTTTGCTGAAGAGGGCTTTATGGTATTTTTTTCAGAGGAGAATTGGGAAGGCTACTCAGAATGCCAGCTGAATTAAATACACCAGACCATTAGAGGCTATCTTCTAACAGAGCACTAGCTAGTTTTGATGCAAAGATAAAGGCACAGTTTTGCAGTGAGCTTGTGAAATTGCGCTTTCAGTTATAAGCTCCATGTTGATCACTCGTCTGTCTGTCTGTCTCTCTCTCTCTTGCTGGTCCTCCCACCAGCTGGTCCTCCCACCAGCTGGTCCTCCCACCAGCTCAATCTCCAGTTCCTGGGAAGTGGGGCCAGTGGAGGGCCATGGGGAAGATGCCTGGTCTGTCACTGTATCACCTTCCCTAGATTGGTGAATGTTGATAGATTTGCATTTTTAATTACTTATTGAAGAACATTCATTACTGGGAAAAATAGAGCAATTTTGAAGATAAAACAGAAAACACTTCAGAATATCTTTCTTCGTAACAGTGTAGATTATCCAGTTATTCGTCAGGCATTTAAAAAAAGAGTATATTAACATAGGATGACTTGCATAATCATGGCGTAGGTTTTTTTCCCTAGATTCATTGAGCTCTGCTATTGCCAGTTCTCATAATTAAACCAGTTTTGAAGTGCTGTGCCTGATGTTTGATTTTGAAAGATTATAGAATAGCAAATAGTGTACGTTGGAGCAAGATGGCTAATTTTGCCAAACAAGGATTCCCCAGAAGATTTGAAAGCCATGGAATTTTATGATGGAATTGAAGTCTTCTGGACCAGTTAGTTTAGAAGTGAAAATGAACACGGGTACAGTGTGGTTGCTGTTGATCACAACCTTGTGCTAAAGGTAGAGTGACATCATCACCATAAAAAGCCCCGAAGCAAACCCACTGGCACGGGTGACTAACAGCAGCAGCCTTAGAGGACAGAGTAGAGTGCCCCCATGCTTTCCAAAGCTGTAACCCGTGGTGCTGCTGCATCTCTCTCCCACAGAGCAGTTGATGGTTTGAACCACTGACCTTTCTCCCATTAGCAGGTGTGTGCTTAAACCTCTGTCTTACTGTAAGTAAGCTGCCAAACATGAGAAAGTGAGAGTCTTTTTGAGTGCAGAACTTGCCCTACAGGAAATCTCAGAACACTGATCGAGTAATGAAACCTGAGGGCCTTCTGGCAAAGGGATTTGTTCTGCATGGTTTTAGCTTACTGACTCTTGGGCGACTTTCATTCCATGCAAAAAAGTTTTTGCCTTTGTAGAAAAATTACCCACTCGTGGTCACTATACTGATAAATATTGAGATGTTAATAAAGAAAGCAATGTAATAAAATGGCTTTGAACTAAAGGAAAAACATTTTAAGCAAAAACTAATTACTGATAAAACTATATGCCATGGGGATTACTCTTTTTTTGTTTTTACATAGAGTTGATGCCAAGTCCTTCAAATTCGATTATGGACAAATGTTACAAAATGAGATTTAGTGCTTTGCTAATAATTTTTTTTTCCCTGAAAATTGTGTTTGCTATATGTTACAATACTCAGCTGCCTTCTGCTAGTTTTAGGAAGTTTTGTGGAAAAATAATGGAGACAAAATTAATAGAACTGTTGTCATTTTCTTTTAAGCCACCTATATTTTGCTTCCCCAAAGTGTTTTGTGTAAGGCAAATAAGAAAATTTTAAAATAGAAAGGCACAGAAAAGTTGAAACCAGAATTAAGGTTCGATAAAGTGAAATTAACACTCATTGTATTTGCTTTATCGTCTTCTCCATTTTAACAAACATCTTCTCCATTTTAGCAAACAGCAGAAAATGGAAGGCAAGATCATTTAAAATATTTAGTGTGTGTCCATGAAAACAAACCAGCTATACAGAACATTTAAATTACTGATAACAGAGATCAGACAGATATTTATACATTGGAAACCAAAAAGTAGGCATTCTCGAACAATATAAGCACAATCTTCTTAAATAGGCGTTTGGTCAGTCTGTGTTGTACAGTTCCCTCACAATAGCTCATACTAACGATAGGTGATGGGGCCAGGCGAGTAATTCCTTCTGGCCCTTGAGTAACGCAGGAAACTCGAGGGAAGAGATGAGATAGTGCACAGCAAAACAGTTCTCGATGAGGTGAGACCATTACTGTCTCTGGGTGTGTAGGAACAAGCGAGGTCATACCAAACAATGTTACCTATGTTCATAGCCAATTGTCCCTGGGTGACAATGATTAATGTACATTAATCTTAGTTAGCCAACTACTATAATGTGCACTTTGACTCATCTAAATATCTCAGAGGTATGGCAGATGCTTCATGCAGACTTTTTATAATAGGTTTACATATGAATCATAGTGATTCAGATGGATAAGACAACATACAAGAATAATCAGACAGTCATTCGATAGACTTACTATGAAGTTTTATTTCCTCTGAATATTGGGTATCCAGTTAAAACAATTTCAGGTGTCATTGTTGAAAGGATTTTGTATTTGTTAGTGTTAGATTGTATTGTCTTTCATATTGCTTGATGACACATCCAGTAGTTTGGAGTAACATTCCTTGTATACGCTAGAGACAAACTTAGTTTTTTCACAATAAAGTTGACATAAAGGAGTATACTTTTCTGTACTTTAAAAAATTCAAGTTGAATTTTTAATAATTGATGTGTGGAACTTTATGATAGTCTATGCAGTTCTGATTAACTTTAATTTTTTTTCCGTTATAGATGCTACTTTTTACAAAGATCAACTTTTCCCCAGAATCAGCAAACTCCCAACGCTTCAGCCAAGATTGATTGTTATGGGTCATATGTTCATAAGTTAAATACAGCACACTCAAGCTGCCGAAAAAGGGAATGAATATTTTCTCTTGACAGTTCTAATGTTACGTGTAAGTTCAATTCAGTTGGGTTAAAATGGCTTAAATGTTTGATTACAGACAACAGTTTAAAGAAAAGAGATAACCATAGAAGAAAACAATCGAAAGTCTTTAGAATATATTTCAACGTACTAATCCCTGATATAGCTTGGTTGTATATTGGTTCTACCATCAGACATCTGAAAAGCCCCATGATACATCTCTAAAAATACTACTGTCCATTTAAATGAACATTGTGGCAGTTACACATACCCAAATTTTGATGTATCTTGCACACATTTTGTTTCTGGTGGTGTGTATGTCCAAAGACAGGTACTTGAATGATATGGGAAAGTGTAGAGCTTCCTCTATTCCAGATGCCGGAATAATGTTTTTCTCTCACCACTGAAAACATTCTTGAGTTTCAGGGCCAGAGCTTTTGAGACCGTTTGGAATTTGAGTTAGGTCCCTCCACTGGTGATGTTTATAGGACCAGATAACAAAAGCACTGGCCCATGTAGATGAGGTCGATGCAGAGCCAGTGACTTTATGGCCGATTTATCCATTTTTCTGAATTATTTGCTATAATTTTCTGTCTTTCACTTTGGTTCCTTTTAAGGTCTTCAATATGACAAGTATGTCAAAATGTCTCTTACTAGAATGCACGTAAAAGACACAGGAAGAAAGTGCCCTATCTTTGCCCTGTGACTTAGAAAGTTACTTACTGACACTTATTACATGCAAATATTGCTTTAGTTTCATTTTGTGAATTCCACAACTAAGGAATTCATGAGTAACATGATAGTCTCATCCCGTGTTCAGAAGATGTTAGATATAAAACAGTGGTTCTCAACCTGTGGGTCTCGACCCCTTTGGGGGTTGAACGATCCTTTCACAGGGGTCGCCCAATTCACAACAGTAGCAAAATGACAGTGATGAAGTAGAAACAAAAATAATTTTATGGTGGGGGTTCACCACAACACGAGGGACTGTATGAAAGGGTCGCCGCATTAGGAAGGTTGAGAACCACTGAAAAGAATACTACATAGTACTTCATTCAACTTCTTATTTTTTGTGTTTTGCAAACCTATAAATCATGAAACAGTTTTCATTACAGTATTTCATAAAGAAAAAATGCTAATTAGGGTACTTTAAAAAATACATTTCATATAAATATCTGTAGTGACCCCTTTTTAAAGTATGATTTTTCAGTGTCTTGAGATTTGAGCAAATATTAAAAGAAGGATAGTATGCAATATGTGAGCATTTGGGTGGGGACCCCCTTTTAAAGAAATGCCCTACAAACTTGAGGATCATAGACATTTTAAAGATTACCTTCAGAAATCCTGTCAGGATTTGATAATCTGTTGAAAGTAGTAACCAACCACGTGTCTTTTTCTGTTCTTATGTTTTGTAAAGGGCTAAAGCCAGGTTGGCTTGAGCAGAAAAGTGAGAGAACAATGCTCTTTAACCGGTGTCAGCATCTGAAACAGATAACTCAGAGATGCTTTTTTAGGGCACAGGGGAAACCACATCAACGTGGACACCTAATGCTTTCAAGAACATTTGCACTTGCGGAACTAAGAAAGTCATGGCGTTCAATCTACTCCCTTGTTGGAGACAAAAATATTATCCTGATGGGACCTCCTGGTGCTGGCAAGACAACAGTAGGCAGAATAATAGGTCAGAAACTCGGCTGTTGTGTCATAGATGTGGATGATGATATCCTTGAAAAAACCTGGAACATGAGTGTGTCTGAAAAATTACAGGATGTTGGCAATGAACAATTTTTAGAAGAGGAAGGAAAGGCTGTGTTAAACTTTTCTGCATCTGGAAGTGTGATTTCCCTCACTGGGTCGAATCCAATGCACGAAGCCAGCATGTGGCATCTGAAGAAGAACGGGATCGTGGTATACTTGGACGTACCTCTGATCGATATAATTGAGCGTCTACAATCAATGAAGCTGAACAGAATTGTGGGTCAGAATTTTGGAACACCTATGAAAGACTTACTTACCTCTAGAAGACAGTACTATAAAAAGTGGTTTGATATGCGTGTGTTTTGTGAACGTGGGGCTTCTCCGGAAGAGGTGGCTGACAAGGTGCTGAAAGCGGTTCAAAGGTACCAAGCTGTGGATTCAGAAACATTCATTTCCACAAGGTACAATTGGCCTAAAGACTATAAACAGAAGAACTCAACAAAATGCTTTAGTGAAGCTGTGACTGAAGGGTTAGCTTCTGATGGTGGGCTCTTTGTTCCCGAGAAGGAGTTTCCAAAATTAAGCTCTGCGGAGTGGAAAGGCCTCCTAGGAGCAACGTATGTCGAAAGAGCACAAATACTCTTGGAAAAGTGCATCCATCCTGCTGATGTACCTGCTGCCAGACTGGGAGAAATGATTGAAGCTGCTTATGGAAAAAACTTTGCCTGCTCCAAAGTTGCCCCCGTCAGGCACCTCTCAGGCAACCAGTTCATCCTGGAGTTGTTTCATGGACCAACAGGATCATTCAAAGACTTGTCTCTACAGCTTATGCCTCATCTCTTTGCACACTGTATTCCACCGAACTGCAATTACATGGTACTTGTAGCTACTTCCGGAGACACAGGCAGCGCGGTGCTAAATGGCTTCAGTCATCTGAGTAACGGTGACAAGAAAAAAATAGCCGTGACCACATTTTTTCCTGAGAATGGAGTAAGTGATTTTCAAAAGGCGCAAATAGTTGGCAGTCAGAGAGAAAATGGATGGGCAGTGGGTGTTAAGTCGGATTTTGATTTTTGTCAAAGAGCCGTGAAAAATATGTTTAAAGATTGCGACTTTACTGGCTTTCTTGTTGTTGAATATGGAACCATCTTAAGTTCAGCTAATTCCATAAACTGGGGCCGGCTGCTTCCCCAGGTCATTTATCATGCTTCTGCATATCTTGATCTCGTTAGCCAAGGATTTATTTCTTTTGGAAGCCCTGTCGATGTCTGTATTCCCACAGGAAACTTTGGGAACGTGCTTGCTGCAGTGTATGCCAAGATGATGGGGATCCCTATTCGGAAATTTATTTGCGCTTCTAATCAGAACCATGTTTTGACAGACTTTATAAAAACAGGACATTATGATCTAAGGGAAAAGAAAATAGCGCAAACCTTTTCACCAGCAATAGATATTCTCAAGTCTTCAAACCTAGAGCGGCATTTACACATGATGGCGAATAAAGATGGACAACTGATGACAAAATTATTTAATCAGCTAGACACTCAGAACCACTTTCAGATAGAAAAGCTTCTTGTTGAAAAGCTTCAGCAGGATTTTGTAGCTGACTGGTGCTCTGAGGAAGACTGTCTAGCAGCGATTCACTCCACCTATAACGCTTTAGGGTATATCCTAGACCCACACACTGCTGTTGCCAAAGTGGTTGCAGATCGAATGCAAGACAAAACTTGCCCTGTGATTGTCTCCTCAACAGCTCATTACTCTAAGTTTGCACCTGCTATCATGCAGGCTCTAAAGATTAAAGAACTCAACCAAACTTCATCAAGTCAGCTTTATTTACTGAGTTCATACAATGCATTACCTCCACCACATGGGGCTTTACTGGAGACAACAAAACAAAAACAACACGAGAAGATGGAGTATCAGGTCTGCACAGCTGATTTGAATGTCCTGAAGGGTCAAGTGGAAAAACTAATACAAAGTCAGTTCCTGTGAAGGTTTCTGACCCACTCCCACCCCCTGCCCGATGCTAAGCTTGCAATAATAAATATCTCGAATGTTCATTTGTAGTACAGTAACATTTTGCTAAGTTAAAGTATATGACAGAGAGAGGTCTATCATCTTTGGGGCTTTTACCAGCCTGTTGTGGAGCACTGAACATTGTACCTGCACATGCTCCTTGGAACCAGAATCTAGACGTGAAAAGTGTGGCAGAGTGCATGGACTTTGTGCTGGTTTGCTTTGCTTTGCATGTACGTGGGGTATATCCATTTCCCCTCCCTTGTCATTTTTGAGTGAGCCTGATTTCTGGTCCTGATTCGTCATTTTGGAATTTAGGTATCTAAGCATAATTATTAGGACAGGTGACCAAATGCTAGTTCTCTGGGACTAGAAAGCCTAACTCGGAGGAGCCCCAAACCCCACTGCCATCCATTTGATTCCGGTTCACCGCACCTGAGACTGTAGAATGGAACTGACCCAGGGTTTCTGGGGTGATCACTATGAAAACAAACTCCCTCATCGTTCTCCTGAGAAGCAGCTGGTGAGTTCAAACCACTGACCTTTTGGCTAGCACTTTAACCTCTGTGCCACCAGAGCTCCCATATGCAGGAAGCTTATCTAATTAAGATTAGAGTAAGGCTTTTAATCCTTCTCAAGCTCTCGTTTGGACTTCAGTTAACTGTGTATCCTCTTCAATCCAAATTAGACCAGTCCTCTGTCCTTAACTCTTCTTTACCAAAACCAACCCACTGCCATTGAGTCAATTCCAACTCCAAAGGAGCATACACAGTTTCTGAGACTATTTATGGGAACTGACAGCCTCATCGTTTTCCCACTGTGCTTCAGACAGGTTTAAACTGCTGACTTTGTGGTTAGCGGCCCAACAAATAACCACTGTGTTATTAGCAAACCGGGTTGTTCTGAGTTAGAATCGACTCCTTGGCAGTGAGTGTGTTTGTTTGTTTTTGAGTAATAATAGGAGAACTGCTGGTTCAGTGGTTAAACAATCAGCTGCAAACCAAAAAATCATGGCTCGAATCCACTAGCCAATTCCCTTGTGTAACCTTGGAAACCCTGGGCAGGAAGGCGATGAAGCAGTTATACATTGCCCTTTCGTGTTGCTATGTCCTCTCCAAACCCAACACCAGTGCCATTGCTCTCACCCAAAACATTACTGTCCAGTTGATTCCAACTCATCAGGACTGTCGAAGAGCACAGAATGCCTCATAAGGTTCCCAGGCTATAATTCTTTGCTGGGGCAGATTGCCACATTTTCTCCCGGGAGTGGCTAGTGGCTTCAGTCAGTCGGTCTCTCGTTAGGATCCTGCCATCTTACCCAATGTGTCACCAGGGCTCCCTGTCATGGTCTCTCTCCAAAACCAGTGCTCTCGAGCCAACCTGAGCTGACACACATTGACCCCGTAGGGGTTCTGAGACAAAATCTTTAAGGGAACAGAAAGCCTTGTCTTTCTCCTGCAGAGAAGCTGGTGGGTTTGAACCGTAAACTTGATTAGCAGCCCAATGCTCACCCCACAGCCCTGAACAGGCCTCCTTTCCTGTGTTCTATAGGATTGTATTTTTACCACGGGAAACGGTTCCCTTTCCAAGCCATGATGATAATGTCTGGCTTTCGTTTGTTTTGAAATTATTTGCAATAGACACCAGATTTTTAAAAAATCAATCGAATGGACTTCATATTGGACACAAGAGTACTTGCTTACCTTACTCCAAGAAGAAGCCCTGGTGGCACAGCTGTTAAGGGCTCAGCTGCTAACTGAAAGGCTGGTGGTTGGAACCAATCCACCATTGGTTGGACGGTCTGCTTCCATGAAGATATATAGCCTTCCAGAGGGCACGCGACAGGTCCCTCTCCTGCGGGGGCACTATGAGTTTGAATCAACAAAAGTAGTTGTGTTGTTGTTTGTTCTAAGAGGATATATTTCTAAAATTCAGAGCATTTGAATGGTTTTGATGGAAGTCTATTTGTAGTTATAGACAACAGGTTTCTATTACTATATAAATTATCTATTGTCTCATCAACGAGTGCTGTTCCTTTTTTGGGACAAATTCACACACAATAAATGCATATATACCATTTTTATACCTTGTTATAAATAAGACATCTTAAGGATGATTACCAGGGGTGCATTTCCTGAACGTTTTGTTTCTGCGTTGAAGATTGCCATCGCGTGGACCTGTAAGTGTAATGGACTGCGCTCACCCACAAGATGGCTTCCTGACATGGTTGGTTTTGTTGATAGCTCTCGGCTGCTTTTTGTGGGTGAACTACCTGCATGAAGCCATACACTAAACCTTGCACTGATGAAGACAATTTCACAATTTAATGGACGGACAGGAGCAATTTTGTTTTAAAAAATGTTTACAGTTGGACCAATCCTATGTTAACATTGTGTGGCTAGGATTCTAAAATGTAAGCCCTCAAACCACAACGTGAAAACCAGGCGCCGCTAGAAGAAAACAATGACAGAGATTCAAAGTCATGTCCTCAGTCACGTTTGTTATTGCAGCGTTGACTTTTAAGGATACTTGTCTCACTAGATGATATGTTTAGAGAATGTATAGAAATGTTCACTATGCATCAGAATGCACTTGTTTTTTAATGAAAGGGCAGGGTTTAAGAGCAGAGACAGGATGTCTACAAGACTAGTTAAGAAGACAACATGTGAAAATTGAATGATGTATGACACTTAAGCATGTTGTAAGGTGGCATGTGGTTAAGTGAAAATGAGCCGTACGGTCCACTGCTGTAGGGCGTAAAGGAAAGGACTAGCAAGGAATCGGAAAAAGTTTTGCAGAGGAGGAAGAACCTGAAGGGACTTCTTCAAGATGGGAGAAAGGAACCCTGGTGGCGTAGTGTTTACACATGGGGCTGTGATTCCCGCAAGGTCTGCAGTTTGAAACTACCAGCTGCTTCACGGGGCAGTTCTACTCTGCTCTATTGGGTCGCTGTGAGTCGACATCGAGTCGATGGCAGCAAGAGAAAGGAATGAGAAATGGATTCTAGGTGAAAGAGGCAAGGGACACAGATAAGGTTAGATGTCCTAGAGTCCATTTGCATATTTCTGGGGTGAATTTGTTCTTTTGCGGCCCAAAACTATTGTTCACTTTATCTAAAACCAGCTCTGGCCCTTTGCTCAGCTAATGGCCTTGTCTCATTCAAGAGGAGCAAGCTATCAAATAGGACCTACCTCAGCATCCCATGAGTCACCATGTATGAATCTACCGAATGGCTTTCTATCCTGTGAATCTGCACGGGCTCCTATCACGTCCTTCCTGCTCTGGTTGAGTTGGCTAGTGTCCTTCTACTGTCCTTCTAGTGTCCTCCCTCCTCTCAAAGGTGCACCTTGGATCCTGCTCCCTTCGGCTTGTTAGATGACTTGCTTCATGAGTTACCCTTTCTTTTTTCTTGAATGCCACCCTTCATGTTATGACATTTAGACAGTCTTTTCACTGCAAAGCATAAAAGCTAAACAATCTTACTGAAGATCCACATTTCCCACACAGCTACTCTTACATTTCTTTACATGTGAAGTAAGGGACAAGTTTCAAGTAAGGTTTCAAAGGAGTGGTCTACATACCTTCTTTATTATCTTCACTTTCCTACCTTTCATTTCCTCCAGATGATCTAAAAGATTGGTACACGTTAAGGATGAATACGACAAATATCAGTGTACTTATCCCATGGCTTAACACTGAATCTTTACCCTGCTGGTGCCCCGTGGAGCTCCTCTGACGACATTCCCATTCCACATCTAGCTTTTCTGTGACGCAGCCCTTTCTATAGATCTGCATTCCTTTGCTTTGCTTCTTTTTGAATTTTATATAAATGGAACCATAATGTAGGTATTCTTTTAAGACCTCCTTATTCTGATCAAAACTTTTAAGATTCACCCATGCAAGTGACAAGTCACGGTTCATTCACTTTTGCCTAATTTTTATCTGTTATACCCTGCAGTGAGGGAGTTTTTAAAGATTTTTGTTCAAGGTTAGTGTCTAGACTTTCAAACACTTGTGATTCTAATGACTTGTAAGCATAGTTTTCATATTCTGGAAATAAAAAAAATTTAAGCCATATTTATAAAATGAAACATCAATTTTCAAACTAGTGTTCTAATTTCTAGCGTTCACTATCTTAAATGATTTCTAATATATAGTATTTGTAACATTTTTGAGAGAAAACATTTGAATTCTATATAATGGAAATTGCAGAAAAATTTTCCATGAGAATAATATTTATAAGGTAATAAATTGTTTTGTTAGAGTTTTTGTGTTAGATTTTAACAGCAGTTCACTTTCAGAAATCACCAATGCTGCAAATATTGCTTGAACTCATTAAATCTGATTTGTTTCCAAACATTTAAAATTAAGACTACTTGTTAGTTAAAAAAAAAACCCCACAAAACAAAACAAACAAAAAACCCTGTTTTCTTGTGAACTTCAAACCCATGGAAACATAAGTTTATTGTTTTTGTTCCCCTTCAGGAACCTAAATAAAATCTTACTTTGAAAGAGTTATTTGTGTGGGTCCTTATCTGTGGTCAATTGGTTCTCTGTGCATGCCAACCACTAAAATCATTAGTTTTATCTTTCGTAAACTTTTACTTAAAAAAAAATAGACTTTCAAAAATACAGAGCAAACAAGCTGTTCTGATTCAAAACATCAGAGCCAATACGTTTGCCAATGTAATGGAACAGGGACACATCAAAGATAAGCAACTAACTCAATATATTTGATTTATATCGATGTGTGATCATATTCATTACTTTGATCTGAGTCCAGCATCAAGAAGTTGGTTTGCTTAGCATAAGAAGGGTGCTCTAGTCAAATTAGCTGTTTTTCTTTCTAAATTGAGAACTCGATCTCTTTGAGTTCTCAGAATTTTCTTCACCTAATAAGAGCTGTTTTGTGGTGACTGCATTTCACGTGCACATGTGGCACTTTTTTAGTGCCCACACTTATTGAGATTTTAGTGACATAAAATGTAGAGTTGCTAATGACAGGTATGTTTCTGTTACAAATAATTGGGGAGTTTATAATTTT